ATATATATATATATATATATGTTTGTGACATTTGATAAGGGAACCCATTGTAAATGCCAGGTTTCTGGCAAAAATGTCATAAATCATGGTCACATGACCACAAGGGGCTGCAAATGGCCATACATACAAACTTTGTCAAGTGCCCAAAATGCAGTCATGTGACTGTGGAGGGGTGGGCGACATTAGAACTTCAAAACTGGATCATAGCTCACTTTTTGGAGGTCCATCCCCTGAGGCCAGGGGTTCTGTCCATTCAGACCTGGCTTCTGAGATTAGAACAAGGCTGGCTTTACCAACCCCAAATATTCACAAACGTTACCAGAGGCAGGTTCTGATGCAGTAATCCCTATTTCATGCTGTTCGTGGAGAGACTTTTGAAACCTTGATGAATACAATACATTGCATCAATAAAGGACATTCCACTTCAGGAGACATTTAACAGTCAATATTGGAGTGGAACTGGAGTGAACCAAGGTGGTATTGAGCAGATACTGAAGAGTTCTGGAGAACTGGTAGTGGAAATTTTGAGTAGTTCGGAGAACCAGCAAACTCCACCTCTGACTCCACCTCTGATTTTACAGTATCCTTCCCCTGCCACACCCACCAAGCCACGCCCACAGAACTGGTAGTAATTTGAATTTGAATCCCACCACTGGACCAAACAGATATAATACCTGCAGGATTAAGATCTGTTTCACTTAGTGTCTCACTTTTTCCAAACTTGTAATCTATTTCAGCACCTGTATGCATTGTTGTTGTTGCTATCAGCAAATGCCAACATTTTAACCCTTTACCATGATAGTTGAATGGTTGGTGAGTATTGTAATTCTATAACATTGTTTCCTTCTGCCTAATTTATGTGTTTGGATACATTTTTAAAAATGTGCTGATGGATACATTTTTAAAAATGTGCCACAAAATCTAGAGAGTGAGTAAGATCGCAAGGCTTTATTCTGGTACACACACACACACACACACACACACACACACACACACACACACACAATTGTATGTATGTATGTATGTATGTATAATTCTCAGAGGTTGCCTGGATGAGTCTCTGTAGTTGTCTTGGAAAGCTTCTCAGAAGTACTTTGCCATTGCCTCCTTCCTAAGGGCTGAGAGAATGTGACTGGCCCAAGATCACCCAGCTGCATTATGCCTAAGGCAGGACTGGAATTCATATTTCCCATTTTCTAGCCTGATGCCTTAACTATTGAACCAAACTGTCTCTCATGTATAGATTAGGTGGATTCATATTAAAATAGCAATAGCACTTAGACAGCCCTCTCTAAGCGGTTTACAGAATCAGCATATTGTCCCCAACAATTTGGGTCATCATTTTACCCACCTCGGAAGGATGGAAGGCTGAGTCAACTTTGAAAAGGTGAGCTAAACAAATTTCTTCTAAACTTCTAGCAGTAATTTTCCATCATGAAGGGGCAAGTAGGTGCCAGCCTGATTTCTCCTGAAATAAGTACCTCATCCTGAAATTTTGCACCTGAAAGTTTAGTTGGGAGAAACACATGATTGATATGCAATTTTAAATAGTCTTTCTTCAATATGGTGTGATCCCACAAACAATACTTGCAAGTAATACTTAATTTATATATCATCTTTTTAACCTGATTAAAAAAAAACACCTTGTACTACTAGAAGAGCCTTAGAAGGGTTGGAAGATATCAGTGGTTAATAAAATAAAAATTCAAATAATTTAAATAAATAAAAATTGACCAATTCACTACATCCTGCCTATCCAAACTCTCCATGGAAAGGAGATTCTGATTTGTTTTTGCTTTTTATTTCCTGGACATTCTGATGCTAAGCTGTTCTCTGAAATTAGGAGAAATCTTAATTATGTAACCATAAGCTTTTGACTCCCCCACTCTCTGTTTAGAAAGATTCCTTGGAAGCACTGCGATTTCAGGCTAGAAGGCTGCCGTGTCTCTTGGTCCATCTGTTATCACAAGTATTTCACAGCCAACTTAAGTACTAGCAAATTATTTATTGGCTCTAGAAGACTGCATTGATTGTTAAGCATATCTCAACAGCTTCTTGGAAAGTTGTTTAGATCCAAGTCACTGGCTTCTTGGAAAGCTGAAGACAATAGCTACTACAATGGAGATTGGATTGACCTCTGACAGGGAGAGCCAATTACAATCAACTTCTAAAGAGACTTACCATTCTACAAATGCAACTGTACTACCAAGTTTAGTGCATTGTGGGAATACCGAAGAACTGCTCCATCAGATGACATCACAGGAAGGTCCTCCCAAAACATCTCAATGCTGGAAAAATGCTGGGAATGGGTCATCCCTTGTGGTCAATCAAGCATTGCAATCAATGAGCAGCCAGTCATGTCCAGATGCCACAAACTGTGAAAAGCTGCAATCTAATGAAACAGATAGTCCTTTGAAGAGCTCAGAGCTAGCAACTTCATCTGAAGAGGTTGTGGCGGGTGCGGATACTGTTCCTGAGGTTGTGCCACCCTTGTTCTTTCCACTGAAACACACATGGATGCTTCAACTCCACTTAGAGGATGACATTGAAGACTACCTGGAGGGATTTGAGTCCGTGGCCTACACCAACCGCTGGCCCAAGGCAGAGTGGGTTGCTAAACTGAAGCCATATCTGAGCCGCAAAGCTCTTCTAGCCTGCAACATCTTGGAACGTAGTCTTGCTAATGACTATGATGTGGTCAAAGAGCGCATCCTGCACCAATATGGTATCACAAGTGAAATGCAACGCCAGTGCTTCAGGCAGTTCCGATACCAGGAAGCCAAAGGCCCCCAAGAAACCTGCCAAATTCTCCAGACTCTTGGACAGCGCTGGTTGAAGCCGGAAAGGCACACCAAAAAGCAGATTTTGGAGTTACTAATACTGGAGCAGTTTCTCACCATCCTGCCCCCAGAAATACAAGACTGGGTTCGAGGATGCTGTCCCAAGACTTGCGCTCAGGCTGTGGATCTTGTTGAAAGTTTCCAGCTGGGAAATGAGGTGAGAGGGATGTAAGTGGTGGAAAAACAATTTGATGTAGGAAGCTGCTGAGTTTAGTTGTACAGGTGGTCGTCCTTGAGTTACAATCACAACTGAGCCTGGGAATTGCGGTCTTAAGTTGTGATGGGGCATGACCAAATTTGAATTTATGACCTTTTACATGGAGGTTCTTAAACGAACCTGTTGGTCACTATAGGTAAATCTAAAATGCTGGTTTAAAAAAAACCTGTTGTAAATCTTGGTGATGAGTGCTGCCAATAAATGTAAAAATGTCTTAGTTGCCAAGAGCCCAAAATGCAGTCATGTGACTGGGGGGAGACACTAACATATTGAAACCAGTTTGTAAATAGCTTTTTTTGGGGGAGGGGGCATCCATCATAATTTCAAATGATTGCTAAACAACTGATTATAGGTTGAGGACTACCTGTATCAATATGCTAAATACCTGAATGAATGGATGCAAAGCTAGGTTGGAAAATGTAAGATTATCTAGCTGTTAGAACTCTCTTAATTTCCCTCACCCCACATTAGTTGACTCTCTACAATATAGTGGCAAGGGTGCTTTGGTCATTTGCAGGCATACCCTATCTGGGCTGTAAAAAAATCCAGACACCATTAGATGCCAGCAGTGAGGTCCGCAAAAGCCTTTTTTGCCATCTAGTAGTTGCCTAGATTTGGCAGCCTGGATATGGTAAATCTCACTGATGTCAGGTTTCCCTCATTCATCTGGTTCACTACACAGGTGAGGGGAATGAAGATCAGGTTGAGGCAACTGTTGCAGCTTTGCAAACAGAAATAGAAACTATATGATGGTTTTGAGCCATTGATGATAGGCACTTTATTCTTGTCATTATTCTAACTTAAACCTGCATTTGTGCCTTTTCCACATATAAAAAATGTGTAGCTTCTCTTTCTGTTTGCAAAGTCACAACAGTCACCTCAATTTGATGGTGCAGGCAATGTTAAGATTCTTGCCTCTAAGACCTCTAAATTGGCTCATCATACATAACCTGTGGTTATTGCTTGAAGAAAACTCACAACATGTATTATAGCTTTTAATAAAACTGTGTAATAGTTTTGGCACCAGATTAGGAATCAATATGTCTGTCTATGGTCATTATATAGTATAATGCATGCAGGAAATAAGTGTATTTGTTTATTTTATTTATATATCATATTTATAAATCACCCATGATCTCCTTCATAGAGCGCTCCTGAGTGGTAAAATTGTTTCTTCTACATTCCTTGTAACATTTTGAAATGGGTGAGGTGGCTATGGGAGCTGTAAGTACTTGTCAGACCTAAGATGAAATCCAATTGAATTCAGTTCTTTAGTTAGTTTGATATAAAGTTTGATATTAGTTTGATATAAAGAATATTATTTTACCTAATAAACAGATATTGATACTGTTATACCTGACAGACAGAATCTTGCCAGGCTAAAGCTATAACCTTCTAGTTATAGACAGTACAGACAGACAGTATGATTGTTTCTTTTTTCATTGTTTATTCTATTATTCTATTACTTTACTACAGTTATGCTACACTTCTTTTCTTTCTCTGTTTTTATTGTTGTAAGCTGCCTAGAGTAGCCCCATGGCAAAATAAGCAGCAAATAAATGTAACAAAATAAATAAGTAAATAAAACCTGGGAGATTCTAGAGATTTGTGGACTTCCCAGCATGGCAAATTCTAGGAGCTGAGATCCACTAGGTCTTAAAGTTGCCAAGGTATGTCACCCCTCTTCTAAGGTATAATTATCCTGATCCTTTTCCCATTCTCATCCAGTTCAGCATTTTCTTATCTCGGCCCCCCACTGGAATGATCTGCCTTCTTCCTGGGAAACCGCATTGCCACTGCTGACATTTCCCACCCAACTTCTTCAGTTGCATATTCCATCACCCTACTGGAATCAGAGTCAAAGTAAAATAGAGAGATCATTTGAATTCCATAGTGTTGGAAGAAATTTAATTCAGAAATTTAATTTATTCCTGCGCTGCCTCTATCCTTCCTTTTAATCATTAACACAATCCGCAAGTAACTGAAACTAGAAAATTATATGGCAAACAAAGTCAATACAAAATTGCAAATATCACTAAGCCACTTCCTCCATTGATAATCACAGTAATGACCAGGCTAAACTGATTAACCTACATAAATAAATAATAGCAGACAGGGAAAGTCCTTTCACCATACAGTTTCCCTGGGTATACAGAGCTGGTGCCCAAAGTCAGCACATAAACACATATCAAAGAAAAGATCTGTAAATAAAAGTCAAATAAAACATTTCACTTCCAGAGCTACATGTCCACCAAATTAAACATTACAAAGAGCACATTCACACACATCTCACAAAGGACTGGCTTTCCTATAAACATTATCAGCCTCTGTACCCTAAGTGATAGTCTACCTTTGAGTGCCATCTGTTATGCTCTCAAATAGCAATAGCACTTAGACTTATATACTACTTCACATTGCTTTACAGCCCACTCTAACTGGTTTACAGAGTCAGCATGTTGCCCTCAACAATCTGGGTCCCCATTTCACCAACCTCGGAAGGATGACTCAATCTTGAGCCAGTAACAATCGAACTGCTGAACTGCAGGCAGACTGCAGTCAGCAGAAGTATCTGCAGTACTTCATTCTAATCACTGCACCACCATGGCTCAATAAAGGAATAAATATCCCTCAATAAAAGAATAAAATTACATCTTTTCCAAACAGCATGTCCAGCATCATTCTTGCAAATCCCAGCTTTTAATGGAAGCTCTCTTCCTTCTAACAATATTTATGCTGAGAGAACTGACTGAAGGGATTTAAATGTTCATGAAAGATTTCCAATTGGTGTATTTGAGGATTAATCTGTTTGGAGTTCCATTTTTTTCCTCATCTTATTTTTGAACGTGTCTCTTTCATCCCATTTCTCTACCACCTCCAAAGCCACCAGTGCCATTCAAAGACATTGATGTGAAGTTCTCCAATGAAGAGTGGGCTTTGCTAACTGAGGAGCAACGAGCCCTGTATGATGATGTTACGCTGGAGAACTTTCAGAATGTGTCCACTCTGGGTGAGGATTGGCCAGTTTTCTTCAGCCCTCCTTGTTTCCCTGGCAAATCAGGAACAATGCTTTTCTAGTTTCATGCTGAATCTAGCTTCTGATCAAGGGCCCAAATGACTGGAGGGGGGACTTATGGTCCACAACATTTGGAGGACATGTTCTTTGGATCATTAGGTTAGCAGGACCCTGGAGGTCTTAGGGAAATAATGGTTGCCTCCTCTCTAGCATAGTATTATTATCTGAACCTTCTAATATTCTGTAAAGGTATTTATTTATTTGGTTCAGACACCGCCTTTCATTCAGGAGTTTAAGGTGGTATATACACTACTCAAAAAATAAAAGGAACACAAAAATAAGACATCCTAGATCTGAATGAATGAAATATTTTTATTAAATACTTTGTTCATTACATAGTTGTCTATGCTTTCCACCTGTTGTCTATTCCATTTGCACAACAGCATGTGAAATTGATTGTCAATCAGTGTTGCTATCTAAGTGGACAGTTTGATTTCACAGAAGTGTGATATACTTGGAGTCACGTTGTGTTGTTTGAGTGTTCCCTTTATTTTTTTGAGCAGTGTATGTAGCCCTCAGTTTATGAACTCAGTTGAGACCCAATTTTACAACTTTTTTTGCCGCAGTTGGTAAGCAAATCATTGCAGTTAAATTAATTATATCATTAAGTGAACCTGGCTTCTCTCATTGACTTTGCTTGTTGGAAGTGGCTGGGAAGGTTGCAAACTGTCAGGTTCATGTGATCCCAGGATTCTGCAACCATCGTTAAATACATGCCAAGCACCCAAATTTTGATCATGTGACCTTGGGGATGCTGCAACAATCATAATTACGAGGACTGGTTATGGTTTACTTTTTTCAGTACTATTTTAATTTCACTAAATGAATCATTGTAATTTGAGAATTACCTAAACATAGCAAGCCCTCCCTCCTATTTGTCCCCATAGCAACCCTGGAAGTTAGATTGGCCTAAGAGAGAGTTACTGACCCAAAATCATTAAGTGAACTTCCGGGGTTGAATCTGGGCTTGAATTGTGTCTGCCTGCCCCTATTCCACCACCTCTGCTGCTGTGCTAACTGGCCCTATACAGGGCTGTACAGGTTAATCAGGGACATTCAAGGGAAAGAGAATAGGACTGAAATTGGTAGATCCTTATTTATCTCTTGTTCTGGTTTTGATCTAGATCAACTCTCCCTTCTTCTGCCTGTTCTTAATGTTTAAACCAATGTGGTGCCTCTTTGTGTTTGACCTGACTTTCAGAATTTTTCACTGAGAAATTGGGAAGCCATAAATCTTTAGTTATGCTCTGCTTCTTTCTCTTGGGCAGGAATTCCTCTGGAGAAACCTGAGATAATCGCCCGGATACAGCAAGGGGGAGAACTGTATTTTCAGAATAATACTATCAATTTTCCAAATGTTCAATTCATAGGTAAGGAAGAAGACTGAACGGGGAGTTTTGTGATGATCCACCTAACCTGTTGCCTAGTTCTTTATAGCCTAGTTTTTATAATACACACATACACTTACATATAGACAGCCATACTAAATAAGTCCTGTTTGTTCTGCTATTAGCAGCAGGAATTACGATTTAAATTACTTGTGGGGGAGGAATATGTGTGTGCAAATTCTCCAGGGATGTCTGTAGGAGAGGGTCAAAGATTATAAGATGGCGGTCACAACACTCTGATTAAAACTTCATCCTTTTGAACCTGTTTCACATAACATGTAAAAGGGATGAGACTTCAATAGTACAATAAAGAGTGCCATTGAGTGATTTTGACCCACTGTTATTTAAGGAGCTATCCATGTACTTAGGGGTAAGTAACCCACTGGGTGGAGCCCCCAGGGCCAATTTGCAGTCCCAAGGAACACATTCAGGTTACATTCCCAAAATTTGGTAACAAAATTTGTACCAATTTTCTACTTTTTCATCTCCCAAAAGACAGAGTAGACACAGTAGACTTTCCCAGGACATAACACACCTTTAACCTTTTTTTAAAAGCTGTGTTTTCTTCCAGTTTTCTTCTTTTTTAAAAGCTGTCTCCATCCAGTCAACCCACTGCTATCAGGTTTCAAAGAATGCCTCCCAAAGAAAGAATAGGAAAAGTATGCCATATGTTATTTTTCTACGAATCGGAGCAATGCCTACCTCAGCAATATTCAGTTTGGGAATCAAGAGAGAGCTTTCGTTACTTCCTTTCCTTAAGCCTATTTCTCAGTTAAATAATGGGCCTCGGGGAAAAAGGGAGACAAACTATTCAGTTTCCTTCAGAAGCAACTGCACTTTCTTCTTTCCATTGCAGGAAGCCAACTGTCACCAACTGTTATCCAAGGGGTGGAAAAACGTTCTTTTTTGAAGAGAGCCACAAAGACAGTTAAGGTACAAGAAATCACCATGGAAGTACCTCAGGACAGTGTGAGTCTAGGGGAAACACTTGTCAAAGAGCCATCTTCTAACTCTATCAAAGAGGCTGCGACATCATTGCCCTCGACTAGTACTCTCCCCCTAAAAAAGCCATTGATTTCCACAAAACATAAATCTTCCAAAAGAAGGAAGCATCAGCCACCCAGAACAGAGGAGTTGTCTTCCACAAAAAGTAGGCCTCAACCATCATTGCTGCAAGAAACATCTGGAAAAAAGGAACCAGGAAGCCAAATTTTGACTGCCAAAGCTGATAAACAAAAGAAGACTCTGGTTCCTCAGGGTGCTAGGTCATCGCAGCTGAAGAAGCCAACTGCATCAGTAGGGCAACACCCCAAAGAGAAGAAGAAATCTAAAGTTCCGAGTGAGCCACCCATTCTGAACAAGGAAACCCTCTTGGGTGAAAATATTGTCCAGGACAAAGAGCATCAGCTGGCATTTCTGGAAGTAAAAGTCAACAAAGCTCCTCTCCCGGTCACCACATGGAATCCTCCTTTCAGTGCCACTGTAGTCTCTGATCTCACGTGCCTGGATTGTGGACGGTCCTTCAAGCAGAGGTTTGACCTGCGCCAACACCGGTATGTCCATACCCGGGAGAAGCCATATGCCTGCACGTTGTGTGAAAAGTGTTTTAGGCATCCAAGCAACTTACATATCCATTTGCGGACGCATAGCGGGGAACGGCCCTATCAGTGTCCCGAGTGTGGGAAGGCTTTTTCCCAAAGTTGCAACCTTCGGACTCATTGCAAGATCCATACAGGTAACAAGCCATACAAATGCTTTGTCTGTGGAAAGTCCTTCTGCCATAGCTCCAATCTCACCATCCACCAGCGAGTACACACTGGAGAACGTCCTTATCCTTGCTCGGTTTGCTCCAAACGTTTCAGTGACAGGTCTACCCTGGTGCAGCATGAACGGACCCACACAGGCGAGAGGCCCTATGCTTGTGTGGTCTGTGGACAGAGGTTCAGCCAGATATCTCACCTCATGAAGCATGGCCGCATGCATCCAGATACCAGTGACCCAGCAGGGCCCACTGAAGAGCCATCTTCCAACACACCCGAAAGGGTCTTCACACCACCTCGTGGAAAAGCCTCTTTCTGAATGAAGCCTCTTTCTGAATGAAGCCAACTACATCAGGTGAGAATCTTGCCTGGATTTCAAAAATATGGGCTTCTTCATCCAAGGCTAACGGTCAGCAGAACTGCACTACTACATAGAGGTGGCTGGATAGTATATTGTGAAGATAAAAGAGAAACTAAGAGTTTTGATAAGCAAAATAAATGGCTGGCAGAGAAGTGGTAACAAAAAACATAGAAAGGGGTGAGAGAATTGCTAAGGATGGAAGCCTCCCTTGCAATCAGTCCGCTGTAAATAGCTAGACTTCATTATCGCATTCAGAGAAACATCTGGAAAAAAATAGTCCCGGTATGCTATATTGTTTATAAAAACAACTCAAATACTCTTGTAAAGTTCTCTTTCCCAAGCATTTTTTCCTTTTTAATCATTTGTTTTCTCATTCCTAACTGTTTCACAAGCCTTTTCTGTTGCCATCATCTCCAGAGATTAACATTGCATATGTATTTGAAACAGACAAAGGTGGAAAATTCAAGACATCTTTGCTCCCTTAGTCATTTTCATAGAAAAAGGCAGGAAAAAGCTTCTTGTAAGATGTAAGGAAAGTGTATTGTGTTTGCAAACAACAATATTCAGTAGCTGGTCCTGAGTTTGGAGCAAATGAGAAAAAGAAATGAGCAGAGAGGCTTCTGGAGACAAAAAAGAGCTACTTGAAAGCAGAGCCAAGATACTTTCGATATGTTAGGAATTTTGAAATGCCAGCAATTTTTTTTTCATTTTTCTTACCTCTGGAATTGCAGTGAATTTTCTACACCAGGATTTCCCAACCTTGACAACTTCAAGACACATGGACTTCAATTTCCCAGCCAGCCAGAGATATTATTTTTTTTAAAAAATCAGTCCAAATATTAGTTAAATGTAAAGATTAAAAAGTAACTGCTTGGCTGTTTTTTATGGTCAAATAAATATTTATTTTCTAAAATGTGTCATTGGGAGAAAATCTCCCACTACATAGTTACTATAGAAATTATTTTCTCCTCTTATGGACTGGAACCGCGAGATGGGCAGTCAAAGCTCCCTTCATTGAATGGACTGGCTTTAATCTATTTTGTTCCTTGAGCAGCCTATTTATTTATTGCTGAGTTATATACAAGAGCCAAATCCTTTATTTAAAGCTATGCTCAATCCAACATTGAAGTACATGGAGTCTGGAAAAGCAAATGGATAAAATGAACTGTAAAACCACAGGTGTTAAAGTGTAATGCTAAAATAAACTACAGTATTTGGTTTATTAAGTAGATTTATGTTGTTATGGTTTCATTTACAACTATTATTGACAATTATTACATTTAATCCTGGGCTGGAAAGTTAGAAGTATTTTGAAGAGACCCCTTAATAATGATTTATATCGGGGTGGGATTCAAATTTGTTAACAACTGGTTCTGTGGGCATGGCTTAGGTGGTGGGCATAGCTTGGTGGTCATGTGACTTGGTGGACATGGCTTGGTGGTCATATTTTTGGCCGGGTGTGGCCAACTCAATATCACTCACATCAAGGCACGCATCTCCTCGCCTGGCCTCTCATGACTATGGGGATGCTGCAACAATTGTAAGTGTGAAAAATGGTCATGTCACTTTTTTCAGTGCCATTGTAACTTTGAATGATCACTCTACACAAGCAAAGTACGAGCAAAGGAGGAAAAAAACTCCAGAGTCCTGCCAAGAATGTGATAAGGGTTAATGGAGAGGCAGTTTCTGTAAGCAACACCAGAATGTTTCCCTCCTGCCTTCCTTACAGGATTAGGCCAGTAATTTCTTCTAACAACCGGTTCTCTGAACTGCTTAGAATGTTAACAACTGGTTCTAGCAAATAGGTGTGAACTGGTAGAATCCCACCCCTGATTTATATCATTTGCATTCATGAGTTTTGCCCCATTTTACGATCTTTATTGCCATAGTTGTTAAGTGAATTACTACAGTTAAGTTAGTAACACAATTATTAAGTGAATCTGGGTTTCCCATTGGCTCTGCTTAGCAAAAGGTTATAAAAGGTTATCGTGTGACCCTGGGACACTGCAACCATCATAAATATGAATTGGTTGCTAAGCATTTAAATTTTGATCACATGACCCTGGGGATGCCACAATGTGAAAAACAGTCATTAAGTGTGAGAAACAGTCATAAGTCATTTTTTTCGGTACTGTTGTAACTTTGGACAGTCATTTAATGAACTGAACAAATCACACTATTACGTAATTTTGTGTGAATTGACCGGGAACACAAGGCTTGCGTCGCTTGCATTGCAAACAACATGAGGTAGTGAGGGGAGTGGGGAAAGGGCAGAGCGGGGAAAACTTGTCCCAGTCATCCCTCATGCCTCCCCAGGCCACCAGGCTGCTTCTTTCTGCTTCTTTCTTCTTCTGCTTTTGGCTGCACACAAGAAAAGCAGCAAAAGTCTTTCTCTCCCCCAAGCTCCGCCAGAAATGAGTCTTTGGGACCCTGCAAGGCATCCTGCTCCAAGAAGCTGCGCCGGCAAAGACTCATTTCTGGCGGAGTTTGAGGGAGAGAAAGAAGGACTTCTGCTGCTTTCCTTGCATGAAGCCAAAAGTCTCTCTCTCCCTCCCCCTGAGAACAGAACTGGAGACGATATCCTGTGATCCCAAATAAAGAACGATCGATCGGTAGGAAAACGGGGATTTTTGCAGACTTTTTTGGGATTTCCTAGGGTTTCTGCTGCTTCTGCTTTTTCTGCAGCTCCTGGATGACCAAAGGGCCAGTGTTGGGACTGCTGCAGCTCTGGAATATGGGACCGACTTTCCCACCGTCAGCAAGTCTATTAGTGGGATGTAAAATTATGAGTTTGTTGGTCCCTGAAGTCCAAAAGGTTGGCAACCCCTGCTTTAACCAGATTCCTGCCCTGAATGTGAATCTGGAATCAGTGGTGTAAATAACTTTTTCCAGCTTAACAATGTTAACATTTGATTGGAATCTGCTTCTGGTATTTTAGGTATCCATTATTCTATATCTTGCCTTCACAATAATGAAGCTATTTTCTGTAAGACTGATAAAACTCTCCCCAGATAACCACATACAATGGTGGGCCAGTGTTTCTCAACCTTGGCTACTTTAAGCTATGTAGACTTCAAGACCCAAAATTCTCCAGTCAACATGAACAATGGACCCATAAGTTTTTAAAAAATATTTTCATTAATAGATAGCCTGTGTTTAAAAGTTATTATAGAGGAGGCATCAGTTTTATTAGACAAGACTGAGATTGTTTTGAAAGTTGGCTTAAAAATGACAGACTAAAAGAGTGATATGGAAAAAGATGCTAAATTAAAGGCTATACATCTTAATACGGCCAAGCTTGAAAAACACTGCTTTATACTCCGTTGCAATCGCGAAAGAGTTAAAAAATATATATACACCGCAGCCAGGCTCCTAGAGTGGCTCGGCGAGCGCCATCCAAAGGGAGGGGATGCAAGATACGACCACGCTTTCCCGTTCCGTTCAAAGATGGAAAGAAATGGAACGTGGCCTTCGATTTGATCCCCTTTATTTCCTCGAGGGGAGCCTCACAGCGGTGAGTCCCGGGCAGGGAGAAAGAGAAAAGAAAGCCAGCCGTGAGAGCCTCGGGCTGGAAAAACTAGGAAAACAACGCCCCGCTTTACTTCCCTCCACCAGCCACGCGGTTCCTTGTCTCGAGAGGCTTTTTTGGATCGCCGGAGGGTCACCTTTTGGGGGGCAGAGCAAGCCCGCCTGAAGTTGGTTTTGGGCTTGCCCTGGTCAATGCACGCGCGCCTTTCCTTCTTTTGGAAGGGCGTGCAGGAAAGATTCGGATCTTCCTAGGCTGATTCGCGCTAGGTTTTTTGTTTTTTTTTGGGGGGGGGAGGGAGAACCGCGCTGTACAGTGCAAGCATGCAGGTGGAAGATGTTGGCATGCTTTTGCTTTGAAAACCAACCCAAAGAAGCTCCCTGCAAGTCGAGCATTGCCGCAGCTGGAAATCAAGGGTCTTCCCCCCCCACCCACACACAGACACTGCCCCTCGCTTTCTCTCCTTGTTGGGTTAGTCTTCTGCTTGCAGGGAGGCTTGGCGAGCTGCTTTTGGCAGCGCGAGCATTAAAAAGCGTGCGCTTCCCATTCGTGTCCTGAAAGTGGTGCAGTCCGCTCTTCCGCTGCGTGCGGAGGCGAGAGGGAAGCGCGAGGTAGGCTGCATGAAAGCGGAAGGTGAGCCAGCAGGGCCCTTCCACGGATTCTTTATTTTGGTGGGGGTAGGTGCGTGTTTCGCTATTTAACCCCTCTCCTCCCAGAACTGCTTTGCTAAAGGGGTCGCGTCCGTGTCAGAGGAAGACACGGGACGGCGATCTCTGATCGCTTCCTTGGCTAGCCCGGGGCTCATGGTAGCTGGCAATGATCGTGATAACCTTCACGAGGCCCTCCGTTTATTCTATTTTCTGCTCTCCTTGTGTATTTCGTTGCCCTGAAAATCATGTTGCAATTTTTTTCTTTCATTTTGGCATGGAAAAGAGGGTGTGGCATATTATATATTAATAATAATAATAATAATTACTATAATCATAAACTTTTGTTCATTAAACATGTGTCAGTCAACGAATATTTAAAATTATTATTATTGTTCTTGTTATTGTTGTTATTTGTAATTTTGGACTTTTCAGTATTACTCCTTTCCTCTCTCAAGATGTGCCTATCTTGTGTTTATTCCTCTGAGCCATTTCAGATGCTTTCACCTTTTCTGCCTTGTGACAGAATCTGCGTCTCAGGATGCTTCTCTTTCTTCAACTCTTTTCTAAAAGCTTTGGGAAAAGACTCTCCTCCTCCCCTAAGTCATGTAACTAAGATCATCTATCTACATTTGAAATAACTTCATATTGCTTTCTTGTGTTTTCTTGTTATGTTTCTTTTCCTAGTTCTTTTCCTTCCTTCCTATTTTTAGATTGTAAGAGCCTTGGGACAGGGAACTGACCTCATTCTTTATGAATAATCTCTACATGGATTGTTGATATAAAAAAGAATAAATAGGAAGCAGAATAAGGTGATAGAAGAGACTGCAACAATGCAAATAGAAAGCCAGCAGCGTTTTCTCTGATGCTCTAAATCTTTATTTGCATTCTTTAAAGAATGAGACATGTCTACAGTATTATTGTTTGTTTTCTCTCTTATTTGCAGCTCATTCTTCTCCAGTATTTTTGTGCTGATAAGAAGGATAAATTCCACCTAGTTTTATTTACATATTTTGGGTATGTAATCAGACCACCTAAGGGACTGTATTTGATAAATAGTTTTGATGAATGGCTACTACATTGAGAATAATTAAAAGGTTGTATAAATTTGTCAATGTTTATGCTTATCTCCCAGCAAAGTATTTTTTAACCTACACTGCCTTTATGGTAAGAATGGCAGCTGAACACTTTTGCCTGAGAGATAATTAGGAATAAATCTTACCAAATACAATCAAGTGGCATTAAAAAAAAGAAGGTATGAAGAGAATGTTGACATCAAAGCATTGCATCAAAGCTATAACGCAAACTTCAAACAAAACAGTAACCAAGGAAATTTGGTGGCATAAATTAAAAATAATGTTACTTTAAAAGACTTCTTTTAGGGAAACTATGAGTCTCCCATTTTTTCTGACAGGAGTATGTTCACACTGCCTTGTTCCAGATTTCACTAACCCTTGGCTCCAGAGCACTTTGAGAGAATCTGCAGCAGAGACACAGCTGCTCCATTGGTAGCTCTTCAGGCCACAAAATGGCGGCACAGCAAAACCCAAACAAGATGGCTGCTCTTTCAAAAGAGGTAGAGGACATGAGATGTCCATTGCAGGTCCCAGTGAAAATAGAAACTCCCTGCCAAGTAAATAACAGTGCAAAAGAGAGAGAAGGAAATGGCCCTGCCACCATTCCATCTGCAACCAGTGAAGATTTCACAAGAGCAGTGTCCAGGGTGAAGCAAGAGCTGGCTGAAGAGCCACCACAGAGCTGGGAGTGTCAGTGGCAAAGGGTGCTAGAGGTGGTGCCTGCTCCCTTCATCACTCCAGTCTGGGACAGCCTGCAGTTGCCTCCTTTGACTCAGGGGGGCAGCACCGAGGCCTACCTGGCCACCTTCGAGCGTATGGCGGATGCTTCCCAATGGCCACGGGAAGAGTGGGTGACTCACCTTGTGCCAGTCCTTAGTGGACAAGCTCAGCAGGCCTATTTCAGCCTAGATGCAAAAGACAAAGCTGATTATGGGAAGGTGAAAGTGGCCATTCTGAGGCTGGATGACTACCTCGCCATCGAGGCGCACCGCCAGCGTTTCAGGCATTTCTGCTACCAAGCTGCTGATGGGCCTCGGATGGCATGTCAGCAACTGCAGGAGCTCTGTCATTGCTGGCTGAGGCCTGAAGGCCAGAGCAAGGAGCAAATCCTGGATCTGCTCATCTTGGAGCAGTTCCTTGTCATACTTCCACAGGAAATGCAGGACTGGATTAGGGAGCGCGGTCCGGAGACGTGCGATCGAGCGGTGGCCTTGGCAGAGGAGTACCTGCAGGAGCAGCAGGAGACAGAGAAATGGGCCCAACAGGTGAGGATTGGCTAGTTTTTTCAGGGAGGATGGAGGATCCTCCAGAATAGGCAAAAGAGTCTCTTTTGCTGCCTTGGGAGATCAAGAAAAGTCAGGGCTGTGAGTTTAAAATAACAGACTAGAACAGGACTGTCAAACTCAAGACCCGCAGGCTGAATCCAACCCTTGGCGTGCTTAGATCTGGTCCACAGGTCTGCCAGTGAAAACAGCTCGAGGGGTCTGTGCCCCCTTTTTGCTGGCAGAGTGCTACAGGAAGCTATTCCCATCCAAAAATGTAGCCTGGGGGGCCATCTGGGCCACCATAGGTGCCCTAGATATGAGTGACATCAAGCTGGCCACACACACACCCTCCCCTCGTGCCTCCCCCCGGCCTCCTGAGGTCAAACAACCCTGATGCAGTCCTCAATAAAATCAAGTTTGACACCTGTGGCCTGGAAAAAGGCAGTGACAGACCACTCCCGTTCTCTTGGTAAGAAAACTTCATTAAGTTGCCAGGAGTAAAGTTCAGCTCATAGAAGATTTTTAAAATTTTTATACATAGACATGCATAAAATATTTATACATACATATACATACACATATGTAGACATGGGCATTGTTTTGGCCTTTATAAGTTGCTAACGAATTAGGCAATAATGTATACCCCAAAACTGTCAATCTAGGTAGTCCTCAACTCACAACTGATTGTTAGCAACTGTTCCAAGTTCTGATGGAACTACTTGGGAATATTTACAACCCAGATTTGATCGTCTACTTGTCATGTGATGGCACTTCCGGCACTCAGCAACTGGGCCACATTTGCAGCATCTGGTCATGTGACTGCATTTTACCACAGTTTTGCCAAACACTGGCATTTACTTCCACTTTTTAGCAAAACTGTGCTCATAGCAAAACTTAATAGTTCACTTAATAGCCACCACAAAAAAGGTTATAAAATCAAGTTGGTCATTTGACCAATCTGCTTTAGAACCATCATGAGTCTAGGACTATAAAGACAGACTCCAGTGTAGTTATAATTTGAGGTCTATTCCTATTTCAGAAAGTGTATAATAAATTATGGCCTTTTATATGTCTATTCTGAAAAAGAGTATTCACCTCCAAACAGATATACAGAGACATATATATATGCATACTAATAATGAAGAAAATTGCCTACCCAATTCAAAAAGCAGTATGTATCAAAAAATGGGAAGGGCAAACCCTTCCCATTTAAAATGGGAATTTAAAATTTAAAATTAACTGTTATCCTGTTTGTAATCGGTTTTGATTGATTGGAAGATACTGGACAAATCAGTATATATTTCAATGCTGGTTACTCTGTACTAAAGTTGTAGGTTATATCCACCATTATGGTGTAAATGAGCCAAGTTGGATAGATTGTGGAAGGAACTGATCAGCAAACTGAATCTGCTTTGCTTGGGCTGATTGCAGTGCTTGTTACTGCCATTGGAATACAGCAATCAGTATTTGTTTTGACAACTGAGGAATCATATGCTAAATCACTGCAATGCTATATTTTCTGTTCTAGTTTTATTTATTTTTTATTGTATGGGCAGTACTTTTATTTGTATCAAGATGGACTAGAAACTTGACTAACATGTCATCTGCACTCTACATCAATTTCAAAGGCCTACCCATTGTATCCAGCATAATTCTAACCATGTCTCTTTATCTTTGTTTCAGGTAACTGTACCAATTGAGATGGTGATAGTTAATTCTCCGATTGTAGATCAGGCCCAGACAGAAGCAAAATATCTCCACAAAGAAATCAAACAGGTTGACAATGAAAATAGCATTTCTCAAGGTAACTGTTTTATGTTTTTAAACTATATATGAAAAGAAAAATTACCTATTCCACAGTGTTGTTACATAATGCAGTGCTCAGTCATTATCATAAAAAGCAGGGGAAACCTGAAAAATTAAGTTTTAACAAAAGAATTCCAAAAAGATTCAACTACGTTGCTCAAAATTCTTCATTGCCTCTTGGTTGAAAAAAAAAATCAGACTGTCTAGAAATACATTTCAGCAACCTACTTCTACAAGTCAATCCATGTCTATTATTTCCCTGTGCCTCCAAAATCTATGATTCTTTTTTTTTTTTATAAAATTTTTTTTATTGTTTTTTGACATACAAACACAACAACAAAACATAAAAGCATCAGCTCCCCCATATTTTTATACAAACAGTAAGTCGGTTGGTCCATCAGTTTTGTGCATTCATCTCATAGTCACAATTACAATTACCTTATATAATACTCTTATCAATACAATGAATCATAGTATCGCTATGAAAAAAAAAAAGAAAGAAATTTGACTAAACTTTTATTCGATCATGCCTTTATGAGATAACTATATTTTAAATACTTTATTCTAAAACAAATCTTATAATCATACCAATTCTATCCTAAATAGGAAAAAAAAAAAAAGAACCAGAAAAACTATTATATAAATATAGTATCAAACACCAATAAAAAGAAAAGGAAAATAAAGTCAATATTATTCCTTATTGTCTAACTTTTATATTTTAGTATTTCATCATTCAACCATTGATAAAAAAGATCCCAAACTAAATAAAATTGTTTATCTTCTTGGTCTCTAATTTCAAAAGTCAATCTACTCATCTCAGCACATTCCAAAATTTTCTTTACAACTTCTTGCAATGGAATTTTCTCATTTTTCCAATTTTTTGCAAATACAATCCTAGCAGCAGTCAATACATTTACAATCAAATATTTCAACTCTTTACTATAAGTATCTGGTAGGATTCCCAATAGAAAAAACTCCGGTTTCAAGTCTATATGCTTCTTTGTCATTTTTTCCAGCCACATGTGGATTTTAGTCCAATATTTTCTAGCATCCTCACAAGTCCACCACATATGGTAGTATGAACCAGGTTTCTGATGACACTTCCAGCATTTTTCGGATTTGTTCTTGAACATTCTTGCTATCCTTGTCGGGGGAAAATGCCACCTGTAAAACATCTTATACAAGTTTTCTTTATAAGCTGTAGACATTGTCATTTTATAATTTTGCAACCATAATTTCTGCCATTTCTCTAAATCAATCCCATATCCAAAATTCCTCCCCCACGCAATCATAGTTTCTTTAACTTGTTCTTCCTCAAGCTTAATTTGCAATAAATAACCATACAGTTTTTTAATCACCTTTTCATCAGTACCCATCAAAATCTTATCTAAGTCAGTTTGCTTATCATAAAATCCCTCTGCTTTGGAATCCTCATAGTACTTTGAATGTATTTGCAGATATGAAAACCAATTCATCTGTATACCTTGTTCTTCCAGTTTTTGCATCGATTTAAGTTCACCCTTTTCATCTAATAATTCCCCATAGTTAACTGTTTGTTCCTTTTTATAAATTATAGGATAGGAGAACGCTTCTATCGTCGATAACCAAACTGGAATTTTCAAATAACACTGTTTTTTTGTCTTCTCCCAATTTAACCACAGAGACTCCCGTATATAATGTCTTCTAAAATAACCCTGTGTTTTGGTTCCCTTGTACCATAAAAAAGCATGCCAGCCCAACAACAAATCATGACCTTCTAATGTCAACAATCTGGTTTTCCTTAATGTTATCCATTCTTTAACCCACGTCAAATTTGCAGCTTGGTAGTACAACTCCCAATTAGGCAGACCAAACCCTCCTCTAAATCTAGCATCCTGTAAAAGCTTTAACTTTATTCTTGCTTTCTTGCCTTGCCATATATACTTCAAAACAATTTTATTTAAATCCTCAAAATATTCTTTTCCAAGCCTAATTGGTATTGTTTGAAACAAAAATAAGACTCTGGGTAAAATGTTCATCTTGATTGTTGAAATCCTTCCTATTAATGATAGTTGTAAGTTTTCCCATTTTTTCAAATCTTGGGCTATCTGTTGTTTAAGTTTAATATAATTATTCTCCTTCAATGTACTACATCTTGACGTCAAGTATATCCCCAGATACTTAACCTTGTTTGTAACTTGGATTTTTAACAGTTCTGCCAGCTCTTCTCTTTGTTTCAGCAACATGTTCTTTGACAAAATCTTTGTTTTATCTTTATTTATTTTCAGACCAGCCACCTCCCCATAGGCCTCTATCTTTTCCAACAGCTTCGAGGCTGTTTCTATAGGATCTTCCAAAATAAAGACTAGGTCATCTGCAAAAGCTTGTAGTTTGAATTCCTCCTTTTTGATTTTCATTCCTTTTATAGTTTTATCTTCTCTGATATTTCTATTCAACACTTCCAAAGTCAATACAAATAACAAAGGCGAAAGAGGACAACCTTGTCTTGTACCTTTTCTTATATTAATAGAATCTGTAAATTCTCCTTCCATCATTACCTTAGCTGTTTGTTCATTATAAATTGCTTCTATTGCT